TCCTTCCTTCCTTCCTTCCTTCCTTCCTTCCTTCCTTCCTTCCTTCCTTTCTTTCATTTTCTTTCTCTTTCTTTTTTCCTTTCTGCTTCTGATTCCCAGGTTACCCAGAAGATACATCAGTTTACCCATCAGTACAGTGGAGAATAAGCACCTGTCTGCTTAGGACTAGAGGGGGGAGGGAGGAGGGAAAGGCCTTGTATGTGAGTGGTTGAATGTGGTTGTGAAGCCTGACTTCAGCCTCAGGGAGAAGATGGTATTGATCTCGACAGGGCAGCTTGTGGTTGAATTGGCTTGCTTCTCCAATGGTGGGGGAGGGAACTAGGACAGATTTGCTATCTGAAATCCTTGGTATTAGGAAAGAGTGAACGATTTGCAGGTAAAGGCTCTGTGTGGGAATCCTGGCTCTGTCCAATCAAGGACACATATCCTAACTTTTCTGGTCTCTGTTTCCCTACCTGTAAAAGTAAGATAATCAGAATAGATGACCTCAGGGAGCCTATGACTGAAGATGGAATTTACCTAAGGCTTTTCCTTCTTGATTATTTCTTGGTCTTCTTAAAAAAGAGTCCCATGGTCTTGGAGTCCTTGTGGTTGCCTGTGGCTCAGCCACTGACTCTGGAGTGGCTTCAGAGCAGAGCTAGAAGGGGTCTTAAAGATGAAGTAGCACAACCCCCTTGCTTTACAGACCCAGAACCATTGCCCTCCGCCATACCTTGTATTGATTTCTGTTGTATTGCAACCGGGCATTTATTTTTTATTATATTTATTCATGTTGCATTGTATTTATTTATACTGTATACGTTTAGTATCTACTTGCGTGTATACACATTGTTTCATCCCAATAGAATGGAAGCTCCTTGAGGGCAGGGGCTATTTCATTTTTACCTTCGTAATCCCAGCACCCTGAAATGTTAAGATGCTCAACATATGCCCATTGATTTCTGTTTCTTGATTGATCTGGTCCAACCCCTTCCTATTGCAGAAGAGGAAACTGAAACTCAAAAAAGGAAGAACCTTGTCTAAGGTCACATAAGTCATAAAGTCAGGTAGTCACAAACATTTATTAAGTGCCTTGGATGTTCCAGGCACTGTGTAAGTGTTGGGGTACAAAGAAAGGCTAAAACAGTCCCTGCTCCAGAGGAGCTCACAGTCTAATGGGGAACACAGAGAAACAGCTATGTACAAACAAGATGGATAAATACATATATTTAGTCATATAACATATGATACATATACCTAGATATACACCATATGATATATACAGATGTATATGACAAAGATAGAGAGAGATGGTGCTGGGATTTGAACCCGGGTCTTGTGAGTCCAGATCCAGTGTTCTCTCTACTCACTTGGCATTTAAGTAGTTAAAAATGCTTATTGACTGACGACTTAAGTGGAATGGGTACCACATCCTTTCTCTATGCAGCTAGGTGGCCCAGTGGATAAAGTCCATAATCCTGGAGTCAGAAAAGCCCAAGTCCAAACTCTGCCTTGGACACCTGCTAGCTGTATGGCCCTGGACAAGTCACTCGATCTCAATTTCCTCGTCTGTAAAGTGGAGATAATGATAGCACCATCCCTCCCCCCTTCACCTTACAAGGGTTATTGTGAGGAGGAAAAGAGATAGTTCTTAAAAAGTGCTTTACAAATCTTACAAAAGTATTGATATCCTAGTTCGTATGATTATGTAAAGGTTGGTTATAAGACACAATGCCCTAAAATCTCATTTTAACTTTGGGGTCTCCGATTGAGCCCCCCTCCTTCTGGCAGTCCTTGGCAGGACACTGACTCCCTCCCCCTCGTCCCTCAACAGATCTGGCCACAAAAGAAAATGAACTGGGCTGGATAGTCCATCAATGAAGGACAAATCACTGGAAACTCCAGATCCGACTCCACGCCACGTTTTGTGCTCCGTGTTTATGTCTTCCAGGATCCTCATCCCTTCTGGGGTCCTGCATAATCACAATTAGATAGAACTCAGCCATACCCAGTTGCATGCAATTATCACAGCTCTATCGCTCCCTTGGGGCGCTCCAGCTTGAGGGAGGCTAGCTTCAATGCCTCGTGACCTTTGACAGCCTGTGAATGACAAATCAAAAGTCAGCCTGGCACAAGTCATCAGCTGGGCTTCCTGCTCATCTGCAATCCGAGGAGGAGGAAGGAGAGAATGAAAGAATCTGAAAATAAAGGTAAGGGAAGCTTCCACCTGGGGCAGATCAAAGGCACCGGGAGGGATGGGGGAACTTCCCCAGAATGCGGAGGGAGCTATCCAGGAATTCTGGCAGTGCGAAAAGCAGCTCAGGGGCTCCAATCCTGCAAAATTCGAGTTATATAATAAATATGACAGCCGGGCTTTTGTTTCTGTTGCTGTTGTTACAGAGAAGCCAGTTTCTAGGCTCCAACCGCTGTCATTTCATTAGAAGTTGTGATGCTGAATTAGGCAAAAGGATTCATTTTAGGCATTTTGCATTTCGTCTTGGATGACTTAATGCCTTCATCTCCACTGCGCTCAGCACCCAGAAGGGGATGGAGGGAGGGAGAGAAGCCCAAACTTGGGGAAATGATTTGGGGGGGGGGATGAAAAATGACTGTATGTGATAATAAACAGAAAGGTTTTAGGTGAAAGGCTATTTCATTATCCAGAAGCACAAGGCTCCTGGCTCTTGCGGGCTGGGGATTTAAGATCTCTTTGGAAGACTGCTGGGGAATCCCTTCCAGTGACTATTAATCCTTTCCAGGCCCAGAGGGGCACCAGCTAGCTGACCTTCAGGACTGGGTATGTTGCGAATATTTAACCGGAAAACGCGCAGAAAAAGCACCAAGGCAAACACTAGGATTCTGCAGATGAGGGACGAGGGAACGAATATGTCTGTTCTCTTGGAGGGAGAGAGAAGGGGTGCACTGATGGAAAGGCAGCCGAGGTTTTCTGGCTCATTCGAGTTGCCTTGAGATCTTTTATTTGTCGACAATGCTAGGACCTAGAATGGGGTGGGGTTGGGGGGAGTGGAGGGGATAGCACGAGCTGCCCGTTTCTGGGCTGCCGGGACGCCTGGCAGACCTTTCAAGCCCTCTGTCACTGGGTTGTTCTCCCTATCATTATATGATGCTGCACTTGCTTCTCGTCAAGACCCAAACAGGAAGATCTCCTTCCTCCTTCCTTCTCCCTCTTTCATCCTCCCTCCCTCGGCATTTGCCATGATTCATGTTTGGGTTGCAGCAAGGAGGGGCCGGGAAGCGGCTGATTCAAAGCTTTTCCAAAGGCCGCTGAATTGGGGTGGGCCTCCATAGTCTCTCCGCCCCCTCGCCATCCTTAGCTTCCCCTGGGCGCTCCTTCCCTTTCTCTTCTGGGGGAGGGATTAGCGGTCCTCCCAGATATTTGCGGGCTGCAGCGCGCTGGCTGGCGAGGCGTGACCACCGTGACCACCGCGTGCACCTGGGGGATGACGGGGCTGCGAGAGCCCTCAGGGCTGAGGGAGCTCGCCTTCTCTCCTCTTAGCCCGGACTGGGGAGCCCAGGCGCCGGAGTAGGGCGGGCCACCCACGGACTTGGCCTCGGCTGGTTTCTAGGAGGCGCCGGCGCTGCCCTTGAGCCCTGGGGACTGACTGGCTGGCTGCGCGAGACCGATGCCCCCACCCAGCTCTAAGCGCCACCCCCTCCCCTAATCCGGTGCTTGGCTCCAGTCGGGGATCTTCGGGCTGCATAGTCTGAGGCTGGCTGCACAGTCTGAGGCTGGCTGCACAGGCCTCTGCAGCTTGGTCCTGGTGCTTTCCTCCGCCTCCCTGCCCCCCCCATGCTCTCCTCTTCCTCCTCCTCGCCCCCTCTTCCTTCCTGCTGTCTCTTCGCAACTCCCTGATTCTCCCTGGTCTCCTCTCCTTGCTCTGGGACCCTGATTCCCTTCTCCTAGGTCCCCATCCCTTGGTGTCCCCCAGGTTCCCTGCTCCTTCCTCTTCTCTCCTTGCTCCGGGGTTCTCTGATCAGGGCTCCTCCCTATTCCCTCCTCTCTACCCTCGGTTCCCTATAGCTCCCTGTGACATCCTTCCATCCTTCCAGCTTTTGGTTCCCACAGTTCCGTTTTCCCTGTTCCACCCTAGCCGCTTCTCTGGCTCTGCAACAGTCGTTTTGCCAAACAAAACCTGAGACGGCTGGATCAAATGCTAGTCTGGCCTGGAGGAAAGAAAGATTGTTTCTGCTTGGAATAATCAGGGAAGGCTTCCTGATAGAGGTGACATTTAAATCGGGAGGTGATATTTCATGGGCAGAATTTCAACAAGCCTGAGTTAAACGCCTGGTTATTTAATTAGTCAATCTGCAAATGTGTATTGAGCGTGTACCAGGTGACAGTGAGTAGCAGAGAGCTTGAAACCAAGGTCTTCTCACCCCAAATCCAGTACTGTTGGCACTGTATCACATGACCTCTCCTCCCTCCATCAATTTCCCCCCAGTATTCTATCAACTAAGCCTCTCAAAGGTATGTACATATGTATGTATCTATGTGTGCACATATACATACATACATACCTGTGATCTAATGAGAACACATGGTGCAGCATAAAGCACCGTATAAATGCTACTATTTGCATCTCTCTTTTACATATTGTGTCCCTACCAGTAGAAAGTAAGCTCTTTGAAGGCAGGGACTGCCCCATTGTCTTTGCATCCTCAGCACAGTGCCAGGCACATAGGAGGCATTTTATGAATGTTTATAGCATTTGTGCAAGGTGGATTTCCCAGTCACTGATCCCAGGTAAACCCCTTCCTAGGAGTTTGCCCATTTTTCTGGTGTGTTCCAAGATGCTTCTCTTGCCACATGCAGAGATGACAATAACTCCCTCCTTGCACCCCTTTCTCAATAACCTAGCCAAAAACCAACACTAAACCCTTATGGAAATCATGAGGAAATATCCTCAGAAGTTCCCAACTCAGTCATAACAGATTCTCCAACCCCCACCTTGATTGGGAAGGGAGTTAATTTCCTTTATTTTTTTCTTTCATTTCCTAGAGTCAGGGAGAAGCAGCATAGCCTGGTGGATGAAGTCAGGATGATGTCTGTAACTGGGGATAAACAAAAGGTAGCTGACATTTAATAACACTTTTCTATTTGATGCTCACAAATGTAAAGTGGCACTTGGGTTCAAAAAGTCAACATCACAAGTGTAAGATGGGAAGGTGTGAGTAGACAGGCTTATTAGAAAAAAAAAGATCAAGGTGTTTTAGGAAACTGTAAACTCAGACAAGAAATTGAATGTGATTTTGAGCTGTATTAAGAGAGGCAGCCATGGCGTTCAGGACTAGGGAGGGGATAGTCCTGCTATATAGTCAGGGCAGCGAGGTGGCACACTGGATAAAGTGCCCATCTGGGAGTTGGGAAGGACTTGGAGAGCATCCAGAGGAGGCAAACAAGATGCTGAAGGGCCAGATGAGGACTATTTGCAGGCATTAGGGATGTTTGGCCAGAAAAGACTGGGGCAGAGTCTGATGCGTGATCACTTTGGCCAAATATTGGAAGGGCTGGCAGATGGAGGATGGTTCACCTTCTTCTGTTTGGCCCAGAAGGCAGAATGAGGAGCAATAGGTGGGAGCTGTAGAGGCACAAATCTAGACTTGATGTCAGGAAAAATTTCGTAACAAAACATTTATGTGGGCCGCCTTTCCCTATTGGAGGTCTTCCAAGAAAGGCTAGAATGACCACTTATGGGTGTGTTATAGAGGAGGCTTCTTGTTGATGTATCAGTTGGGCTAGGTGACCCTTGAGGTCCCTTCTAGCTCTAGCATTTTAGGATTGTATGAAAATACTCTTGTGAGGAAGGTAGCCCTGGTATTATTGTTCCCATTTATCAGAGGAGAAAAACTGACTTGCCCAAGGTCGCACAGCTAGGAAGTGGTGGAGTTCCACTCAAACCCATAATTTATGACTCCAAATTTATTGTATCTACTTCATCCCAGCTTTCTTGTTTATTTATGTGGAGTATGAGGACAAAGCCATCTCATTAAAAGGAAGAGCCATGAAGAGAAGTCTTTTCATTTGCTTCATGCTTCATAAGAGATACCAGTGGAAAAAAAGAAAAGATTTATGATGGGTTGAATTTTGAAGTTTCTGTCACAGTCTTTTTTCACCTTGGGTTGATACTAAAAAAAAAGGAAAAAAGGAAATAAACATTTATTAAATGCCTAGTATGTTCTATGCACTGCGCTAAGTGTTTCTGGGAGGTAAGTGCTATTATAATCCTCATTTTACAGCTGAGGAAACATGATAAGTGACTTGTCCAGGGCCCCACAACCAGCAATTGTCTGAGACTTGATTTGAACTCAGGACTTCTTGATTCTAGGTCTAGTGCTGTAGCCACTACTTAGTAGCTTAGTAGCCATTAGCTTAGTAGGTAAGTATGCTATAAACAACCCCTCCCCCCCACACAACATTTTTGTTTTGAAGAGAGTTCATGTTCATTTTTTCTGTTTCCCAGCACAGTGGATGGAGTCAGTATGCCGTGGGTTCAAGTCCTGCCTTGGACACATCCTGGTTGTGTGATGCTAGGCAAGTCACTGCTTCTCAGGGTATCTAAGGTGACTGTTTAATACTCTTTGCTGCAGAATGGCTGCTAATTTGCATTGATAGAAGGCGTTTCCTCACTTGAGAGTTCCTTAGTGATGAAATCATAGCTCTGGACCATGATGGACTCACATGTTTCCCAGAAGCTTTTATGACTTCTGGTGGGAGCAAGGACCCATCTGTGTTAGGTAGGCTGCCCGTGATGTTAGGAACAATGGGAGATGAAGAAGGGGGGGATGCTAACAGCGACATGCCTGTGGGAAATAGAAGCCCAGGCTCCATCCTCATCAGTTCCCCGGGCATTTCCACTGGAAATACAAGCAAACTCAGTATTTGAGTCAACAGTTGTGAAGTGGCAGTAAAGAACCCTGATGTGAGCTTGGGCCATGTCGAGTACCAGAGCAGAAAGAAAGAAGTGATTGTCCTCCTGTATCCGGCTCTGGTCAGATCACATTGGGAGTACTGTACTCACTTATGGGTACCATGTTTAGGAGGGACCTTGGGATGGGGCAAAGGAGAAATAGCTAACTTGGATAGCTACCATATAAGGCTTAGAGGGCTACTGGTAGATATCAGTCTATGGTTCTGGACTTTCCATGCACCCAGGACAATTCTTGGTGTCATCAAACCTTTGTGAAATATTCAGGTATCAACTATCATTCCCCAACATTGAAAAGGAAAAATACAGGAATCTTAAATAAATCATGAGGTGGGCTGGGGGGGAATGGGGGACAGAAAGCTGGGGCACTGGAATCATTATCATGTTTCACATGAAGTCATCAGCGAACATTTACTAAACACAAACACAGTCATGTTTCTCATGGGTGGTAAATGTTGAATCATGATTTACTAAATTTCCTCCCTCTTTGATAATGCCTTTATGTGAATGTATGTATGTGTATGTGTGCTTCTCATACATACAGGCAGATACAATCCTAAGAACATGTAGTGAGGTTCCAAAAATTCAACACTGTCCTATATATAGTTTGTCTCAAAATGCCTTCTGCGCCACACAAAATAAATATGAATGATACATAAAAAAGGAATAGTTGAACTATTTAAAAGTCAGAAATTGCCAAATAGGAGAGCCAAGCGTGCCCTTTATTATGGCAGATAGAGAAGAAAAGTAAATAGTGATAGGAAATGAAGAAAAGTTGAGTCAACATGGCCATTGCTGTTAGGTATTAGAGGTTGAGAATTTAGCCATTCTTTGGGAGACATGAGCCTTGGTAAACAGAGAATGTCTTTTCTTATGTGCAACATGTGGGAAGTGGGAGCTCTCTGGCGTGTTTAAGGTAGAAATCCCATTTCACAGAATCACAGCAGACTAAAATTGGAAGGGTCCTCAGTGACCACCTAGTCCATCCCATTGCCCCCAAATAATTGTTTCTACAACATATCCAATAAAGAGTCATATGACTTTGCTGGAAGACCTCCACTGGGGGAACCGATTATCTCCCAAAGTAGTTTGTCCCGACTGGGGACAGCTCTAATTCTTGGCAGTTTTTAAACTTAAATTTGCATCATTACAACTTCCACCTATTACTCCTGTTTCTGGCCTTGGGGCTAAGCACAGGCTAAGGATTAGAAGTGTGATTTCTTCAGTGCAATGGAACTCTATCTATCAAGAAGGACACCTTCTCTGCGACTTGTGAGAGCTGTCTTGTGCAGTGAGAGGTTATAAGACTTACCCAGGGTCACATAGTCTATCTGGGTCAGAAGTGAGACTTGAAAGCAAATCTTCCTGGGTCCAAGACCAGTTCTCTATCCACTAAGCCACACTGCCTGCCAAGGCTAAGCAGAATAACTTCTAATCCTTCTTCCATGGGATAGCATTTCAGAGACTTGGAGAAAACTCTTCTAATGCCTTTACGCCTTTTCTTTTCTAAGTGTAAACATCTCTAGTTCTTTCAGTGGTTCCTTATACGGCACAAACGCAAGGCCCTTCATCGTGCTGGTTAAATGAAGGTTTTACCTCAGTTGTCCAGCTGTCTTGCACAACAGCATTTCCAGATGCATTTGTGCCACGACTCTGATGGGAGAGAAAGAGAACAAGGCAGAGAGAGGAGGAAAAAAAGTGAAGAAGAGAGTTGTCTTTTTATCTCCCCACTAAGAATTTAAAATCTTCGAGCCTCAGCCTGAAGGAACAGAGATAATCTATTGTAAACATCAAGATGAGATAACGATCCAGCCTTCCCTTGAGGATCTCCAGGGAAAGAGACTCCATGGCGGTCCGCGGCCACCCATAGACGCCCATTCCATGTTTTACTTTTTATTGTTTAGGGTTCTTTTCAGTTAAATGTCTCCAGATTTTTCAGATCATGTGAAGTATCTGCCAAAAATTTTACAAGCCATCTTTCCAGTTTCCCAGATCTGCAACCTCAGTTGTCTACCACATCTGTCCACTAGCTGACTGCCAGCCTGGTTCTGGCCCTCACCACTGTTTGCTTGGACTATTATGAAATCTTCTAAGGAGGCAGCCCAGTGTTGGAGAACTGGATTTGGAGTCAGCAACTTACTAGCTGGACAAATTGCTCAACTTCTCTCAGCTTCAACTTCCTCATCTGTAAAATGGGATCATAATAACACCAGCTTCCAGGGTTGCTGTGAGAATTAAGTAAGATAACAATGCAAAGTGATTGCAAACTTCGAATCATTTTATAAATGTTAGCTATTAAATGGCCTCCATGCTTCCATTCTCTCCTGCCTTCCATACGTCTGCCAGAATGATTTTTCCTAAGGAACAGATCTGACAATGTTCTTTCCAGCTCAAAAAAAATATCCACTGGCTTCCTATTCTCTCTAAGGAAACATCAACTCCTCAGCCTCTGGCATTTAAGGTCTTTCACAGTCAAATTCCAACCTTACTTTTTCAAACATTTTATATCACTTGACTTCATGCATTTTAAAGACATCATTAAACCAGCTTACAATCTGTTCCCTGAATTCAATAGTTCATTTCCTGTGTCATGACTAGGGCACAGGCTGTTGCCAACACCTGGACTTGACTTCCTCCTTACCTCTTGCAGTCCTAAGTTTCCTTCAGGGTCCAGCTTTGGTGCCATCTCCTACGGGAAACCTTCCCCACTCTGTTTAGTACCTTCTCCTCCTCAAATCATCTTCTTTTCCCTTCTCGGGATACCGTCATGCCCATCTTAGTAGAATCCAAACTTCTGGAGAATGAGGATGATTTTTGTTTTTGTTTTTGTTTTTGTTTGTTTGTTTTATTCGTCTCCCTTCCTCACTACCACCAGTTTTCTCTTCTATAGGCTATATACATTTGGTCCTTTCACCAGTCATCCTAACGGCATTTATTCAGAGTTTTGATTTTTTGTGTTTTGACTTTGTCCAATGTCTAGCAAAGTACCTGGCGCACAGTAAGTTTTTGATAATTGTTTAACTGACTTACATCTAATTAAAGTCCTGTCTATCTCTACATTATAGGATTCTTTGAAAATGACAGAAGAATATTTTAGAACTCTGTGTGTGTGTGTGTGTGTGTGTGTGTGTGTGTGTGTGTGTGTATGTTGGGACGGATGGAGAAGGCAGAGGGTGCAGACATTGCAAATGGAGAAAGGACTAGTCTCAAGTGAATCACTATTTGACAAATGGCCTCACTCATGCCCTGACTCATTCTCCAGACTTTCCCTTCTTCTCTGGCCCTGCCACCTTCCATTGCCAAGGGTGTCCTTCTCTCCTTCCTCCCTTTCCAGATCCCTTTTATGTGTTGTCTTCCCCTATGAAAATGTAAGCTTTCTGATGGTAGGGACTATCTTCCAAGGTTTATTGTCTGGAACATAGTAGGTCCTTTATAAATGGTTGTTGACTTCTCTGCTTCTATTGGTACACCAGCATGTTGCCAGGCCCATAAGAATTGCTTAATAAATTCTATCTATCTTTCTTTCTATCTATCTATCTATCTATCTATCTATCTATCTATCTATCTATCTATCTAGACTTCATCCAGTTATTTTACAAAGAAATGGAGGCCAAAACGGAAGCTTTAACTTCTTTTTTTCACAACACTTTTAGAACAGTAGGTGCTTAATAAATGTCTATGTATTAAGAAAATGAAGTTGTACATAACCCATTTTCATGTTACTAAGTGACTTTAGTATTTTTTCTTTTTAACACAATAACAGTTAACAGTTTTTGGATACTCACTTGTCATGGTGACCACATCCTAACAGTTTTGAAAAACTGCTTGGTTTCAAATCTTCTAGAAATTTTCTATCTTATTTTTTGGACTGAATTATTTGAACTGATTAACTCAAATCTCCTTCCCACATATTTATAAATAGAACTTTGGCAGAATCATGGATTTTTAAATCTGGAAAGGTTCTTAGAGATCTGCTGCCTTTTAAAAATACATTTATGTGTGTGTGTATATATATATATATATTATATATGTATATATAATGTATATATGTATATATGTGTGTATATGTGTGTGTGTGTGTGTGTGTGTATAAATAATATACTGATGATGAAACTGAAGCCCAAAGTAGTTAATGAAAATCACACGACTACAGGATTTCAGAGTTGGAAAAGACAGCAGTGGCCACTTAGCCCAACTTGCACCCTCCTTTCCTTTCTAAAACATGCCCCGTAATGAAACATGCAGCCTTGGCTTCAGTTTCTCTCATGAAGGGTGCCCCAATACACCCCAAGGCAGCCCATTTCACTCTTGGACAGCTTTTGTCGCTAGGGAATTTTTCCCGATGGTAAGTCTAAACTTGGCTCTTTGCAATGCTTACCAAATGTTCCTAGTTTTCCTCTTTGGGGCCGAGTGGTTCACGTCTCCCAAGTGATGGCATTTCCAATATCTGAAGCTATTTCACATATTCAGCACTTTCTCCCTTCCTCCCTAACTCGAGTTTTCTCTTCTATAGGCTAAATACATCCAGTCCTTTCACTCAGCCATTTTAGGTCATGAACTCAAAATCTCGACCGTCGTGTTTGTTCTAGTCTGGAAGCTCTCCAGCTCATCAGTATCTTTTCTAAAATGTGGTGTCCCAAACACACAATAGTACTGTAGCCCATATGACCTGAACAAGGCAGAGTGCAGTGGAACTACCATTTTCATCTTTCTGGAAGTGATATCTCTTTTCATCAAGCCTAGGATGGCATAACCGTTCTTGGTTGCCATATTGACTGTTGACTTACGTTGAGATTGCAGTGCATTAAAATCTCAACATCTTTTTCATACAAACTTTTGTCTAGCCCTTACTCTCCTGGCTCATATGTGTGGAAGTAATTTGCCCAAGAAATGTCCCAGCAACATCACACAAATGGTTAGTTGCATTGAATTGGACTGAGGATGAGCATCTCTGGAATCCTGGTTCAGTGTTGTTTTTGCGATACCATATGTACTTACTACAAATATGTGTCTATTTCATGAGTAACTATGGACAAAATATTCCTTAGTTATTGCTAAACCTGCTGGTGCTACTATACTCTCTAGCCAAACTTAGCTAAGCTGAATGAATGAAAAAACCTGTACAATACCAAGGGTTATTATGGGTCAAGTTCTGTGCTAAGTACTGGGAGATACAACTAGGAAAATAAAACAGTTCCTACTCTCAGAGAGATCACATTCTAATTAGAGCAGATAATTTTCAAAAATTGTCTTGTTCTCCTGGGAAGGTGAAGAGGCTAGGCAGCCCTCAGGTTTCAATGGCAGGACAGATGGGAAGGTACTGTGGTCCTCCATCTTACAAAGAATGATAGTTGGGGATTTCTTGCTCACCTAAGTGGAATCAGTGACCATAGACTCCCTAGAGGGAGTGGGTTGGAGGGGCCTGGTCTACATCTTTTGGAAATGGGAGAATGAAAAGGGGTCTCCATTCCTTCATAAGGATATAGAGATGGGGGATCAGTGTCCTGCTGTGACAAGAAAGGGAGCTTTGGCAGCAAGGACCAGGGGGAAGAAGATGTCAGGGATACAAATTAAGGCTAGAGGTAGCCTGGTTAGTAAGTCATGCAAGGCACCTGTCAATGGGAGGAGGGTTAGGGAGTGAGAGTTTCAGAGATGAAAGGGTTAAGTCCTCCAAGGTATGGCCTCTGGCCAGAGGCCTGAAATCAAAGCTCTTCACTGGTCTTAGTATTTTGTGTAAGACTTACAAAATACTTTTCTCCTAACTACTCTGTGAGATAAGTCTTCCACAAATGTTAATTGTTCTCATTTTACTGATGAGGAAACCCAGGCTCAGATAGGTTGTTACTTTTTCAGGGTCAAATGGCTAGTGTCAGAACCTAACCCCGAGTCCAATGCTGAGACTATCAGAACTCACAGTGTTACTTACATCAGTTATCAATTAAATTTCAGGGTTTTTTTTTCCTCCCTCCTGTCCTGTTGTCCTGGTCCTTGAAGACTAGTAAGACACTTTTTATCTCACACGAAGACAAAACTGCTGTGTTTTCACCACTCTTTGGATCAGTTGACCTGTGTGCTTAAAAAAGAGACTGTGTGTCATGCCCATGAATTCTAACAAGCCCAAAGCACAAGGCTGGCCCCCTTTCTGGTCCACTTTCAGTCTTCATAACTTTTAAAAATACAGAAGACTTTTCTCAGCTTGGAAGAAATCTCCGATGTGAGCTGTTCAGCTTTCCTCCTGAATTTGACCGTGAGACCTATGCTTGAGTGTGTTAGCTTGCTTCATAAGGAAGCTGCCTGGGATTTTTCTGGAGTCTTTATGGGAGAAAATCATAGTTGTAACTACCCAAGGTACCTCCTACAGCATTGGAGCCCCTTGGACAATGGAGTATCTGCCTTCTATGTGAAAAGAACAATGCCTGGGAGTCCAACAAACTGCCTTTGAGCCTTGCTGCTGCCCCATACTAGTTATGTGATTCTGAGCCTTGATTCCTTCATCATTTGTGAAATAGGGATAATAATCTCTTCCGTGCTGAGCCTCACAGGGCTATTGGATGGCTCAGCTGAAAGAATATGTATGAAAACATTTGGTTAATCATGAAGTGCTCTGCAAACTTAATGGGGATAAATGTGAAGTTCTACACGTGGGTTCAAAAGGTCAACATTGCAGGAATAGTATGGGGAAATGTGGCTAGACAATGGTTTCTGTGGAAAAAGATCTGAGCTTTTTGGGGGGACTGGATGCTCAATATGAGTCCCTGGTGTATGAATGCAGAAAGCAAGCTAATGTGATTCTGAGCTGGGGAAGTGAGCCAATCGTGGTGGCCACGTCCAAGATGGTGCCCACATCCAACATGGTACCCACATCCAAGATGGTGCCCACATCCAAGATGGTGCTCATCCTGCTATTCTTTTCAGACTAAAATAGCAGGATTACATTCAGGTCTCAGTGTCACACTTCAGAAAGGACAAAGACAACTCCTTACTCACAGTTGGCATTTAATAAATTTCTGTTGAACTGAATTTAATTGCGCAGACAAGCACTATTGGAGCCCAGCATGAAGACCATGCCCCCTAAGGATGATTGAGGGGACTGCAAGAGAATGGGTTCCAGCTTCAATCCAGTTGGTCAAAGGGGCTCTTCTGATTACTCCCATTTCCCTTTGTAAGTAATAGAAGCCATTGAATTGTGCAGGGGCGTGAGTTGATCTGTGCTATGTCTCTGTGATTTTGTGGAATGTAGGATGGATGGGAGGGAGGAGAAATTAGAGGTGGGGAAGACAGTTAGGAAGTTTCTGAAATGGTTCAGGTGACTTGAAAAGGGGACCTTTGAGGTAGGTGGTGGTGGTGTCCCCATTTTGCTGTTGAGGAAACTGAGGCAAACAGAGGTTTAATGACCTTTCCAGGGTCACATAATCAGTAAGTGTCTGAGGCTGGATTTGAATTCAGTTTTTCTGACTCCAGACTTACCTGAGTCCTATAATAAGCATTTATTAAGCTCCTACTATGTTATACGCATTGTGCTAAGGGCTGGAGATACAAAGAAAAGTGAAACAATCCCTACCTTCAAGGGACTCACAATCTAATGGTGGGGATAAGATACAAACAAGATAAATACAAGATGCTCCAGAAATGGCCGCTTTCTGTGCTTTTGAAGAAAATTACAAATCAGTCTGTCAGCTGCCTGATGGGGGGAGTCTTGTGGTGGAAAGCTTTCTTTCATCGGTTCCTGTAGCCAGCAGCCCCCTAATGAGGAAAGCACCAGAATGATGCACATAGGACAAAAAGCCCTTGCAAACCTCTCCAGGCTTTTTACAAGCCTCACTGTGTAGTGCAGAGGAGGCATTTAAAGACTGTGAGCATCAGTGAAGAGAGAAGCAAAAGTGTTATAGCCTTGGCTAGTGATCTGCAAGCCGGCAGGAAAAATGGTATCTTAGAAACGGCCCATGCAGGAGAGTGAGTCTGGGCTCTGGGCGGGTGTGATGTCAGTCAGCCACGCTGGGTCCAAAGCAGCCCTGGACGACCCTCTTCTCCAGAGAATTTAGGCATTTGCTCAGTGATTTGAAGAGTAGCCGGCCCTTTTGTGAAGAGTGTGCTTAGGATCTCAGTGTGATTTCCTACCGTCCATCTTCTGCTTGGTGTTCAGAGCCTGACATCAGCTGACTCTGCCTTTCCTATTCAAACATATTGCTAATGTTCACCAATATGAACAACCAGAGGGCAAGGATGAATGAATGGATGAAAAAAAATACTTGTCAAGCACTTCCTGTGTGCCAGCGCCATGATAATCAGTGGGCATGTAAACCAAAAAGGAGGGTAAGGGGCCCTCATTCTAATGGGGAGGGACGCCCTTTTCAGCGGCAGTCTGATGGAAAGGCCCCTTGGCCCCCAGTGGGGTAACAATAAAATAGATGGTAAAGGACTGGGACACCCCGTCGAAGGAGAATTGGTTGAAGAACCTGGGAATATTCTGCTTGGAGAACAGAGGGCCCGGGGATGGAAAGGAAGAGAACATCGACATGACGGCTTTGTTGAAGTGTTTGAAAGGTTGTCCCTTCTGAGAAGGAGGTGGTATTCTCCTTGGCTTCAGAGGATAGATGCAGGAGTGATGGGTGGGAGTTACAAAGATGTAGATTTCAGGCTGGAGTGATCCAAAGTAGAATAGAGTGCCTGTGGTTGCCATGGGTACCCAGCACTGGAAGTCTTCAAGCAGAGGCTGGGCAGCCGCTTGTAGGCGTGTTGCAGCAAGGATTCTTGGTCAAGAGCTGATTTGGTGAGATGGCCACTGAGGCCCCTTCCACATCTGAGGGGAGCCCATGGTGCCCTCACTCCAATCAGGTCCACTTATCCAACACTCAAGTCAGCCAGCTGGGTGCAGCAGTAAGACGCGATTCCAATCTTGCCATAGGCACTTGCTGAGTGACCCTGGGCAAGTCACGTACCATCCCTGGCCTGAGTTTCCTTCTTTGTAAAATGCAGAAGTTGGACTTGGCCAAGTCGAGTCAACAAGAATTCATTTCGTGCCACATTGCTCCTCTCATTTGTGCTCACATTTTCGAGATAAGCGCTGGAGTTTTAAATGCCATGCCCCAGGCCATACTGCTAGCCAAGGTCAGTGCCAGCCTTTGGCCCAAGTCCTGGGCTCTTTCCACGGCACAGCCAACTCGGTTCCCATGCTTGACTCTTGCGTCTCCTCTTTTCCTTTCACACTTGACTGTTGTCTCTTCTCTTGCTACCCTTTGCGCGGGTGCACGCTCAGCCCCCTCAGTCACCCACAAGCTCTGAATAGGAAGGGGCCATGTCTTACACTTCCTTTGCATATCCCACAGTTCCTACTTGATCAACTAATTGATCTTGAGATAGTCAAAATCCCAAAGTTACCTCTCTGGGTTTCTGTTCCATTATCTATAAAATGGGGGAGATTGGTAAAGAATTTCATAATCCAACAAATATTTATGAAGTTGATATTATTAGGGTATAATGGATATGTTAGAAAGAACACTCGATTTGAAGTGGACTTTCTCTTCAGCTATGTATGAGTTCTCTGTGGGTCTCAATTTCCTCATCTGTAAGATGGGGGTATTGGACCAGACACTCACCAAATCCTATGACAATGTTGCTGTTACATGATAGATTAGAGACTCATAGATTTAAAGCTGAGAGGGGCTTCATAAGCTACCTTTGTCCATCTCACTCATTTTACAAATGAGGAAAGTGAGGTCTGAGCACAGGGAGAGAAAATGGCAGAACTTGGATTTGAACTCAAGACTTGGGACTCCAAATCTAGGACTTTTTCCTTGCATTAGTTAGGTTGCAGCTTAATGCATTAAGGAGTCCCAAAACAAAGGGTCTTGAGAGGGTTGAGGGGGAAGGTAACAATCATCAGGGATCAGGGAAAAGATCTTGGAGTACTGACACGATGTGGCTATTGCATTGGACTTTAAAGGATGAGCAGGAATTCAATTGATGAAGAGAGAGAGGCAAGAATTCCTGGTGCAGGAAATAGACTGGATAATGCACAGCTCAGCACAGTGCTGGGCACATAGCAGGCTTTTAGTAATTGCTGCTAACTGCCAGAGGACAGTGTGAATTCAGGAGAAGTCATTATCTAGTTTGACTGGGACGAAGGGTATGTTCATCAGTGAGTCAGTCAGTAAACATTTCTTCAGCGTTAGTATGTACCAGACTCTGAACTAAGCTCTGGGCGTACAAGGGCAAAAACATGGTCCCTACCCTCAGGGAGCTCGAATTCGAATGAGGGAGACAGCATGTAAACATACAAGACATGCTCCTGCTGTGTGTGTCAGCATATACAGCCATCTCAGAGGGAAGGCACAAGGAAGTGGGAGACCCCACATTGGAACTGTCTTGAAGGAAGCCAGGGAAGCCAGGAGTCAGAGCTGAGAAGGGGGAGCATTCCAGACCGGAGGGAAAGCCGGTGAAAAGACACAGAGGCGAGAGATGGAGTACTGTGAACGAAGTACAGCAAAACAGCCAATGTCTTTGTCCGCAGGGTACGTGGAGGGGGAGGAAAGTACAAGAAGACTGGGAAGGTGGGAAGGGGCCAGGTCAGCAAGGACTTGATTTGTTTGTTTATTTTATTTGCATTTGTACAGTGCTTTAATGCTTACACAAGGCTTTTACAAATATCTTCTCACCTGATGCATAGAACAACCCTGAGATGGAGGTCCTTTTATTGCCATTTAAATGGAGGTAAATAGAAATTAAGTGATTTGCCCAAGGTCACCCAGCCAGTAAGTACCTGAGCAGGGTTTGAGCTGCACTCAGTTTTGAACCTACTTCCCTAGAGAGCAAGATGCTATAGGCAATAGAATTCTCCCCCTCTTCGAAGTTTTGGTGGGGAAGTGTTTGTACTTTTGGGCTTGCCCTGCCTTTGAAGCAAATATTCAAATATCAACCTCGTGTGGATAAATGCAATTGGGGAGCTAGTTACTGACTGCTAACAATGGAAGCGAAAGAGCTGGTGGGGGCTCAACTTGATATTGGTAGAGAAGAGAGGTCCCCCCCCAAAGCCTACAAGGCACCCTAGAGCACTTAGGGGAGAGGGTGAAACCAGACTCTGGAAGGACCAGAGGATAGAAAGGACTTTAAATGCCAAACAATAGATTAAAAAAATTTTGAAAATTTGAGTAGGGAGCTACTAAAGCTTATTGGGGTGGAGGAGTGTGACACAGTCGAACATGCACTTTAGGAAAATCATTTCAGCAGCTGAGTGGAGGATAGATTAAAATGAGGAGAGATTTGAGGCAGAGAAACCAACCAAAAGGCTAGTTAGTCCAAGAGGTGAGAGCCTGCTCTACGGGTACAGTGGTGTGAGTGGAAAGAAAGGGGTTGATAAGAGAGAGATTTGACAACTGACTGGGTTTGTTAAGAGTATCCGCTTGGTTGCAAGCCTAGGTGCCTGAAAGGACAGCGGTGCCCTCCATAGTCCAAGGAAAGTAGTGAAAGGGGGAGGGTTTGGAGGAAATGTGGAGATGGTCCCTTCTCACCCCTTTAGCTCTAAAATTCCGTGGGTCTCTCTGATTCACGGAACAGTGTCAACAAAGCGCTCTAACCCTTCTGTCCCGTCCCATCCCCTTCTTTCCAAGGAATCTTCGATGCCTTTGGCCCGTGGGAAGCTGCGTGCTCAGAGACTGGGATTTGTGGCAGTGTGGGGTCAGGGGAACTGACGCTATCTATGGTCTGTAGAGGTCCTCGGACTTATGCCTGACAACCACAACCTCTAAAAGCTCTAACGAGGGGCTTGTGTGTGACCTCTAAATACAGCCGTGCTCAGGGGCGGCTGAACCGGGCAGAGATGAATGGCGCCCTGTCTTCAGCCTGTGGCAGCAGCCACCTTTGTCAGGTAGCCAGCCCCAGTGCCTTAGTGCAGAGCCTAGAACAGAGGAGTAGCTTAATACACTCTGGGATTGGCTGATTGAGACTCCTCCTACCGCCACAAAACTCTCCATAGTTCCATAGTCTAGCGCGGTTCCTGGCATATAGTAGGCATTTGATAAATATTAATTGACTGATTGATTAATTAATTAGATAATTAATGTGAGTCAGCCAACCAGCATTTATTAAATATGTTGCTGAAATGGTGCTAAATGCTGAAGACTCGAAGACAAAAGTGAACCTCTCTGCCCTTAGGGAGCCTACATTCCAATATGTATACAGAATATACCCCAAATGAACACAAGATGGTTATTGGGGGGAGGGTACCAGGAACTGACAGAATCCAGAAAAGCTTCATGTAGAAGGTGGCATTTGAGCTGAGTCTGGGATGAAACCAAGGATGCCGAGAGGTGGTAAAGATGAGATTCCCCAGGCATGGAGATTAGAAGTGGAATGGAATGTGCGTGTGTCTGATGTATACGTGTATCTGTATACATGTGTGTATCTATGTATATGTGTATGTGCATGTCTCTGTGTGTCTGTGTACATGCATTTATATCTGCGAGTGTCTGGCGTGTATGTGTGTGTCTATGCATGTGTGTCAGGTATATATGTGCATCTGTATACACGTGTGTACTTGTGTATCTGCATATGTGTGTGTATGTCTCTGTGAATGTGTGTGTCTGATATATATGTGTCTGTGTGTCTGTATGCATGTGTGTGTGTGTGTGTGTGTAATAGTAAGTGGCCCAGTATGGCTCTCTGGATGGGAGAGTGGGAAGGGGAGACAAGGTTAGAAGGGCAGGACGGGGTCAGGGTATGGAGTTTTGCCCTGCAGCCCCAAGAGTTTATGTTTGGTCCTGAAAGCTGCTTGAAGCTGCTGGACTTTTTTGAGGGAGGGGCTTACTAGCTTAGCATGCTCATCCTTTCTCCTTAATAACTCTTGCTATTGTGAGTTCTCTCCCTGTCCCCATCACTATCATTACTATAACCTCTCTTCTCCTTCCCCGCCTCCTTTTCTGGAACCCTGCCCCCCCCAATTCCCAGAGGTCTGTGCTTGAAACCTGCCAGATTAGAGCCATCCAGTTCATCAGCTGCAGGTCCCCACCCCCATCCCTGTGACTTCAGAGGTGAGAAACCCATCTGACCTACTTAACAGATCCCAGGGATCCCAAGATCTTATCAGCTCCTGGGAGCTGCCTCACTAGATGGAACAATGATGACTCAGACGAATGCCATCTATTGAAACTGGTCAAAGGGGCAAGATATGGATGGCACAACACACCCAGTTCTGGGATGCAGCATCTTCTACAGGAAACCTTTACTAACCCTGCCCCCTTCCAAATAATTCCCTACCAAAAATTGCCCTGTATTTGATTTGCATATACCTGCTTATGGATGCATTGTTTCTCCTATCACACCATAAACTCCTTGCGGACAGAGAATATTTCATTTTGCCCTTATGTCTTTAGAACTCATAGTGCCTGGCAGATAATTGGTGCATAATAAATGCTTGTTGATTGACAGAGTGATTACTTTGTTGCTCCAGCCTTCCTCTCCTGGCCCCCAAAGTCTCAAGTCAAGTGTCTTCCTTCTGTGGGGTAGACTTAAAGGGCCTATTGCTTCCAGTCCTCATTGGCCCACCTAATTCTGCTAATGAACTCCTTTATGTCTAGCAATGGAGCCCAATAACTATCCAGTGAACTTTGGTTGATTAACCATCGTAGGCTTTCAGCTGAATATTTCAGTACCACCAATTCAAGTTAAGTTGTCAGGCTTTGACTCCGAAACTTCTCAAGCCCTAGACCCTTAGCTGCTGTAGAATAGAGGGTAAGAAGGCGCTCCTTTTGATAAGGCTAGTAAAGTATTACATGATATTAGAAAGTTCAACATCCTAAGAAAATTATTAATCCCTGCTAGAAATAAAGCTTCAGATAGGGCATGAGTCCTCCTACTTTGAGAAGTACCAGCAGGTGAAGGGCTTTGCTGAAGGGTGATGAACAAAGAATGAGGCAGATAGTTTAGCAAATTCAGAGTGGATATGCCTCCATCATAACCGTGTGGCTGGAACCTAAGTATTCGTGAAAATGCCTGGGAGAGGGTTGATTTGGTTTATTAGCAGCAACATAACTGGTCTTCCTGAATCCCATCTTGTCCCTCTCCAATCCATCTTTCATGCAATGGCTGAAGTGATGTGCCTAAAATCCAGAGCTGGCTATGTCCATCCATTACTCAAGAAACATCAAGGGCTCCCTATCACCCTAGGATAATACAGAAGTCCCTGTGTTTGGCATTTAAAGCCCTCAGCAATCTGGCCATACTAAGGATTCTTAACCTGTGGGTCTAAGAACTTGAATTTCTTTCATTCACATTGATAACTGCATTTTAATACATTTAAGCACCTTTGCTGTCCTCTGTATTTTAATCCTGTGTATTTAAAAGCCTCACCAGCCTGCCAGAAGGGATCCATGGCACACACAAGGGTCGAAAGTCCTCCTCGAACTCCCAGCTTGTTCCACGTTGTGCCCCTCTGTGCTCCGTATCTCCTCCCAGACTGCCCTGCTTCATTCCCCCATCAGAGCCCTTGGCCACCTTCTCCCTTGTCTGAGACTTTCTCCTTCCTCACTTTTCTGCCTTTTAGAATCCCAAGCTGTCTTCAAGGCTTCTTGCTTCAGGTACCTCAAGGGCCCTTTCCGGAGCCTAGCCTCTCCCCATTGCTAAAGCCCATCCCTCCAAGTTACTTCATATCTATTTTGTTTTTATTTATTCACTTATCAGTGCACACATTGCACCCAGCAGGAAGTAAGGTCCCGGAGGGCAGTGCTTTTCTTTTTTTGTCTTTGCTTCTCTAGCACCTAGCACTCACGGTGTCTTACACTGCTGCTTCTATTTCCACCTAGAATGTCAGCTCCTGGAGGGCTGGGCAGATGGAGTTTTTCCTTTCTTTGTATCCCCAGTCCTTAGCAGTATACCTGGAATACAGTAAGTGTTTCATAGATACTCATTGACTAACGGCTTAATTGGTAAAATATGTAAACTGCATTGCAAGCCTTACAGCACTATGTAAGTATTAGTACTTGTTATATCGACTTTTACTGAACCTAAGCGTTCTGCGCCTTGGGAGGGTGGCTGGGCACTGAGTTCTTAAATCATTTTAGTCACTCTCCCTGCCTCCTCCCACTGTCCCCTCTGGCAATCCTACACAGGTCAACTATACTTTGATTCTGCTTCATTTTCTTTCATTCATTCTAACCTTCTGGTCTCTAGGTCAATCTAAAGGGCATTTTCATTAAAGCTTTGTGGATTGAGGAGCAAATTCTCACTCCCAGGCATGCTTTATGGTTTTCTTTTTTCTTTTAAAGAGGATGACAGCTTGTCACATTTGCAAACTGGAAACCTCATCCTCCTTAGATTGAGTGGGCATCGCTGAACCATGCCCGGGCTTACTAATAAAATGTATGGCTATCTTCACTTAAGAATGCAAGCACTTCAAAGAGCTCATTTCTGCCATAAAATATATGGATCCTCTGTGCCCCAGAGCCTGAACAGAGACTTTTGGACTCTGTAGATGGAAGAAGGGACTTTTCAAACCCGAAGCCTATGGCTAAAGATGGGTCAAGAGGAAATGTGTTTTCTTTTGGATCCAAGTTTGGCATAGGAGAGAGAGCTATTTGTACAGTAAGGATTCTAGGCCAGGCCTTTTAACTCTAAGTCTGGGGCTCTTTTGCACGTGAGGAAACACAGCCCAGAGAGGTTGACAACTTGGCCAAGGTCATATACTTTGGGGAGTCTCGACTTGAGCCTCAGTCTCACAGGTCTTGAGTCTCTAGTTCTCTCTACAACTTTGCCCTTCTGTTACGGATTGTGGCTGTTTAGGGCAGAGCAAGGCTTGGGAATTATAGAGAAGAAACTCTGGGCTCAAGATGAGGCTGAATGTCCTAACAACACAAGCTGTCTTGTAGGGGAGGAGCTTCTCTTCATTTTAGGTATTTAGTCAGAAGCTGGACTGCTTGGATTCCTCCTGGAGGGCATTCGTAGTTAACAAAATGGTTGGACTAGCTGATCTCTGAGGTCCCTTCCAACCACTATAATTCTGTAAAATTATTCCTTTCATTAATAAATGAATATTTACATTAATTAGTATTCACAAAACAATTCACAAAAGCCACAGGATGACAGGCTATATTAGGAACTCAAGCTGAAGTTTGTTGTGAGCCAATGGTAAGGTAACAACCTTCCCACCCACCCCCATCTCTTACCAGGGACCTCATATAATGCTTTGTTTTATTTTATTTTTTATTTTTTTAGGCAATTAGGGTTAAGTGACTTGCCCAGGGTCACACAGCTAGTAAATGTCAAGTCTTCGGTCTGAGGCCAGATTTGAACTCAGGTCCTCCTGACTTCAGGGCCAGTGCTCTATCCACTGCACCACTGAGCTGCGCCTATAATGCTTCTTTTTATGTGGCCCAGTGCATGGAGTGATGGACTTGGAATCAGGAAGACCTAAGTTCAAATCCAGGCCCAGACACTTATAGATGAGTGATACCAGGCAGCTCACTTAACCTCTTTCTGCCTTAGTTTCCTGAGCTATAAAATAGAATCATAATAGCACCTCCCTCTCAGGGTTTTTGTGAGGCTCAAATGAGCTAATCTTTGCATAGCTCGTGGCATGGTGCCTGGTACACAGTAGGTGCTTAATAAATGCTTGCTTCTTTCCTTCCTTGTAGTCAGCGTGCACAGTGAATGCTCGTTGAGCTGACTTGAGTGTTCTATCTGCAATCAGCACCAATAGCCTTCTGTCAGCTAGTTCCAAGATCAAAAACCTGGCCCAGGCTGATACTGTCGGAAGAGGAATTTCTCCCTCTGTGCCCTCTCTTCTCCTTCTTTATCACCTTTGACCACGTTCTGTGGCTTACCATGAAGTGCAGATAGTTTGGCCTTTGGTATAGGCATTCAAAAAAGACTCCCTTCAAAGACCAGGAAAATGCCTTCAGCAATGCCTTCACCTCAACATAACGTACAAAGGTCAGTATGAAAAGAGAGGCTGTGTGTCCCTGGATGGGGTCTTGTGCCTTCTCTGTCTTCTTGACTCTAGAAAAAGGGCAACTGCAAGGATTCCCCATCGGTAGCATCTGGCAGCCTGGGAGGAGGGAGGAAGACTTTCACTGTTGGGAAAATTTGATGTATTCACTTAGGAGATTTTTAGAGAAAAGATAGGCCTGGGAGCATCCTTTCATTTACATAGGGACAATTCAATTCAACATGCATTTTAAAATTGTCTGTATGTGTCAGGTAGTGACTGCTAGATGTTGGGAACACTGAAGCAAAAATTAAATAAAACCTGCCCTCAAAGAGTTTATATTTCACTGTAGTGGGCAGTAAGGGTGTTACATTGAGAAGCCTGTTTTTCAGATCAGGCTGTTTGAATCATGGGAACCAGGCAGGGCTGGGCATCAAGGACATTCTCAAGGATCTCAGGAAGGCCGGAAGATTCCTTTCCCAGATACAGTGGCAGCAGCTGCTGAGGGAGGGTTGTTCTGGGCACTCTCTCTATCACCCTTCTCTCTCCTTCCTGACAAATGGCCTCTCTGGTAAGTGGTAAGATTGGCATCATCTTTCCCATTTCATCTGCCCTGGCCTTTGGGAATGGTCTTTAATTCTGTGTAACTTGTTTGGGTCACATTTCACATTTTATGCTTTGAATGCCAGTGACTGTGAAGCCACCTCTGAGCTGGAGAGGAAAATTGTGCCTGGGCTAGAAAGATATCATTTGTATTTTGGTAAGTTGGAGGTGGGCCTCCACGGACTGAGACCAGAGGGGAGATGACATAGGAGGGAAAGAGAAGGCAAGTCAAAAGAAAGGATTCTGCTTCAACATTAAAGAAAACCGAAACTCTTTAGCTCCAGCGTGAGAAATGTGAAGGTAAAGATGGCATCATACAATCAGAGATGGAGAACTGGAAGGACCATCTTAGCCAACTCCAGCATTTTACAAGTGAAGTAACTGAGGCCAGGGACTTTATGGGACTTGCTTAAGGTGACATAGGCAGGGTCAAAGATGGAGCCCAGGTCCTCTGATTTCAGAGATGCAGCTTTTCAGTTGTACCCCATGGAGTCAAATCAAGTCAAAAAGGGTTAATTAAGGACCTACTATGTGCCAGGCATTGTTGTAAACCCTGAGGATACAAAGAGAAGTTTTTTAAACCTCCATGCTTTCAAGGAACTTACGGTCTAATGCCCTAAATGAAGAGCCTGAATGATGCTGGATGGATGGAGGAGAAGTAAGAATATCTGTCAGACAATCACATGTATGTACAACACATACATATGCATGTGTATATATGTGTGTGTATACACACACACACACACACACACACACACACACACACATATATATATATATATATATATATATATATATACATATGTATTTACATTATAGATTTCTCAGGAGATGCATCAGAACCTTTCATTCCGACTGTTATGTTTTTGTGTATGCCCATAATAAATGGAGCTTGCTATGAATCGGTGACCTACTTGAACGTTCTTTGCATCAAACAGGGAATCACAGAATTTCAGCCATGGACCTCCTAGTTCAACCCAGAATTGAAAAACATACCCTGGGGCAGCTAGGTGGTGCAGTGGATAGAGCACCAGCCCTGGATTCAGGAGGACCTGAGTTCAAATCTGGCCTCAGACACATAATACTTACTAGCTGTGTGACCCTGGGCAAGTCACTTAACCCCATTGCCTAACCAAAAAACCCCAAACAAACAAAGAAAAACAAAGAAAAACCCAACAAGTGATCATCCACCCCAAGAATATTTACCCCAGGTGTGGCACCCCTTCCCTCTGCCTGTCTCTTCCTTTCCACTCCCCAGGAGCATCAGGGCTGTGGTCCAGTTGGGGAATATGAAAGGAGATGGCTGCAGGAAGTGGCCACACTCAGGGGATGCTGTACTCAAGGTTAGCTGGGTTCTAGGTAGCACTGCTTCCTGCCGCGGCTAAGCCTGCTCACCCCGCTCCCAGCTGGGCTTAGGGAGGCCAGAAGCAGTGAGGGATTCCTGCCAGCAGCCACACCACTGGGCTAAGGAAAGCATTTGCCGTCATGAATCCTGGTTCTTACCAGGACTTGAGTACTGTGTCCCTGGTTCAGCCCAGATCTCAAGTCCGGAGGGTCTGTGGCTTCATCTAAAGACCGGCCCTCCTGGAAGCATGAACTGAACGTCAATCGGACAATCTTTGGTGCACTCACAGAGTGGTCAAGGGAAATGAAACGAGTACAAACTGTACATTTCCTAGAACTCCTGAGGTTGGATCCGCCCCGAGTCTGAGGACTGCCGAGGGTCTGAGAGAGGCTGTGGGTGAGTAGGTGCTCAGCAGATACTCTATCCTGTATTCTTCCTTGGTTTCGTGTTGTCCCTAAGCTGAGTAAATTCTGCGTATGGGATCCTGTATGCATGCCTATGTGTTCTACGGAGAATTAACTCCATCGGGCCAAGTTTATGTGTCTAGGGCTCCCTGGAAGATCATTGGTTCAAAGAAGAGGTGGGTTTTGCTAGTAGAATGGGAACTTTATAGTGGTCTTGATTAGGTAAAGTCACAAATCCACATACCCTTTGATAACAAATGAACAGATTTGTAGATCGCTGAATCTCCTGAAAACCATAGAAAACTTGG